ATTAGAATACATTGGCCATGGGACGCAGACTTCCCTTTAATGTTAGTTGCTGGAAAGGAGGATTTTTTTAAGTAAACTTTTTACTGAAGTATAACAAACACAAGAAAAGCCCAAATCATACATGTATACCTTGATGGATTATCACAAAGTGAGCACCTCTGTGCAACCACTACCAAAATGAAGAGCTAGAACCTTGCCAGCTTCCCAGAAACTCCACACATACTCTCCCCCTTTTCCTCCCCAAGGGTAACCATTATGGAGGGGGTGGATTTAATGTTTTGACAGGGAACTTTGACAGGTTTGATGTTGGATAGTCCTATGAAAAGAAACTCCAGGCTTGGAATCAGGCAGACCATGACATGACTTTGAACAACATCTGTGAGCCTTTATCTATAAAATAGAAATAATAATACTTGGATTATTGTTTTTGAGTGAAGATGTTAGCTAATGTAATATTATTTGTTTGTTTGTTTCTCTGGCATTTACTAAATAGTGGTTGTCTTAAGGGCACACATCTCAGCCTCCAGAGCAGCTTCAATAGATATCACGATGGGCCTCACTTAAAATGATGACGCTTTGTAAGAAAGAACAGCAGCTCCATACACATTAACACATGCACAAGCACGAGCGCACACACACACACACACACATACACACACATTTCACAGGCATGGTCCCATAGGATCAAGCTCACACACCCACTTATACAAAGGTCATGACTCCTGTGGGAACATCCCCACTCTGATTTCGCAAGTTGAATATTTCCTTTCTCTGGGAGGGGAGGTACGTGATACAATGAAATCTCTCCTTAAAATTCACTTACATGAAAAACATATGTCAAATATCATCAGCCTTGGATGGCACTTACACTTCAGCTAGCCCCAAGAGTTGGATGCTGACCCAAATGAGTCTGAGTAACTCAGAATATTCCTGGAGTGTGGGCTGGAAGCTGAGAATGCTAGGAAACACTCAGCTCCTCTATCACATGCTTGGAGTTTTTAAATAGAGTTGCTGTTGTGCTCACAAATCTGAATATTTTATGCAACTAAATAATTTAAAACATGGAAACAACTTTGCTGCTCTTTTCTTCAGAGGTCTCCCAGCCCTCTCTTTTGCCAGGACAGTCTCAAGCACCATCCAGGGCAGCAATGGGAGTTAACGGCTCAAGAACAGCCCATGTGTTGGGTTCTTGCTGTGCCAGGGTCTGACTGTGAGTTCTGGAACATGAAGCATAGAAAAGGAACAGTTTTTGCTCCAGATGTTAGGGAATCGGGACAAAGGGACTTCCGTTCAAGAGCTTCCTGATTCACCCTCACCGGTGCTCTAATGAGCACCCACATGCCAAGAGGGGAGAACAATTACTAAGTCAGTCTCCTCCATCGCATCTCAGAAAGACCAGCAACCAGGGGACAGAAAGATGTCGACTGTCCGTCCATCCATTCATCCAGGGCTTGGTCCTTGTTCAAATAAATGGAATTGTCGGGGAGATAAGGAACAAAGGTCTCTGTCCCACAAGCAATTTCCATTTCCTAACACCAGAAAGGCTACTACTCCCCTTCCTCTCTGGCATTTGTCCTTCACTTCCCTCTTCTACTACTCGTCTTGTAGTTTCCACATCCCTCACTCGTCCATGTGCCTCCTCTAGTCCTTCAGCAAACATATCTACTGAGCATTTCCAGAGTGTAAGAAACTTTACTAGGCATTATAAGGAACACACACACACACACCCCAAAAATTGTTCCCACCTTCGATAAGCTCATGGCCTATAAGACATGCACACGAATTGCCCTAATAGTGTGTAGTCTCAGAAGTTCCCTAAGGAAGGTAAAGGACGATACAGTGAAATAACTGAGAAACAGTCGCTTTGACCTTACTTTGAGGCCAGACCCCTTCTCTCTCATGGCCTCTGATTGAGAGTTAATATCCAGGTGAGACAGAGTTTCACACACCAGCCAACTGCCCTCCCCCACAGGGCTGTCGCCCGCTGATCCTAGAGAAGCCTCTGGATTCAATGGCATTTTCCTTCCCAGAAAACAAATCAACACCGCAAAGGGCCATATGCTCAATTCTGTCTCTCTCTACCATTCTTTATCCTTCAGGAGCTTCTTTTTTTCTCCTCTCTCTCTCTCTTTTTTTTCAATTAAATGATGTTAATGGAACACAAATTTGCGGTCAAAAACTCTGATTCTACAGGAAAATCTAAACCCTAGAGGTGAAGAGATTTGGCTTTCAAAGTGAGTCTATCATATGTCAATACAGTGAGTGGTTTGTTTGCTTGTTTGTTTGTGTTTAAAGAAAAATGTATATAAAACCAAAATGAGAGGACTAGTTCAATTCTTGCCAGATTTCCATCCTCAGCTCAGGAAGAAACAAGAAAGCCAAAAAAAAAGTGATCTGTCCCACTCCCTGTAGAATGTTTTTGTTACCTTGTTTTCCTCTCTTGCTTGCTCTGGAGACTTTTGGATAAATAAATGAAGTGTGAGTTGCATCACACATGATGATTGCTGATTTGTGGGTCACGCCCAGCACCCAGGGCAGACAGCTGGTGTGGGGTGTGGTGCTGGCTGGTTCTCTTGGACAACCTTAGCAGGAAATGGTGGTGATTCAGTCCAACATCTCAAAGTCATTTTCCGAACTCTTCAGGCTTCCCTCTCCAAGCACTCGTCCCTCTCATTTAGAGTCCCTGAGAACTTTCGTGAGAAA